TGATGTCTTGTGGGGGAAATAAAATCTGATTTAAAATTGTTGAAAGAAAAAATTATTTATTTGAGATAGATTAAAACATCTTTGTTAGATTTATGACAGAAATATATTTAGGTATAGAAAAACAGAAAATGTATGGCGTTTTAGGATTTGAGTTTTAGGTATATAGTTACGCTATTCAGCTGGGCTAAAGTCATTGTTATATCCAATTTTGTTTTAGTGCTTAGATTTAGAGAGTTTTTATCATGTTAGGGGTTTAGTTTAGGGTAGTATTGTTAGTGATTTATTGCTCAGGTTTAAGCTTGTTTCACAGACATCTTAAACCGTGAAAGTTTTTAAATCCTGGCTGTCTTGAAAATGGGGACGGTGTAATCGAAGCTAAAGAGTTCAGATTTCTAACTAGAGTAGGACGTCCCTGAGTCCATCTAGCCCACATAGGTACCTGACTTACGTTAGGAAAACGTAGGTGACAGGGAAAAGTCATATGTGTCTAGCACGTGAGCGCGGAAAGATGATGATGAATCTTTAAAATATCGTGGTTGAGTAAAAGTGCCTTTGAATGGTAGCCCTATATTTAAAGTTTAAGACTTTAATAAGTTACTGAGCTCGCTCAACACTAAAGTATGCAACAGTCAAGTCTGGTAGTTTTGTTTATATATGTAACTTTATATATATATATATATATATATAATTATTTATATATATATATATATATATATATATATATATATATATGTATATATGTGTGTATATATATATATATATATATATATATATATATATATATATATATATATATATTATATATATATATATATATATATATATATATATATATATATATATATATATATTATATATATAGTATATATATATGTGTGTGTATATATATATATATATATATATATATATATATATATATATATATATATATATATATATATGTGTGTGTATTTATATAGTATATATATATATATATATATATATATATATACTATATATATTATATATATATATATATATATATATATATATATATGTATGTATATATATAGGGAGAGAGAGAGAGAGAGAGAGAGAGAGAGAGAGAAAGAGAGAGAAATATGTTGCTTTCGTGAAACTCTAGGACGTCTAGCTCTCTTTAAAAACACAAAATCACTTGTCGGCCTCTACCTCTAAATTGTACCGTCGAGTATGTAAAGGTAAATGTTAAAACTATGTAAACTTTACTAAAATAACAGTTGTTTTTGTTTTTTCATAAGTAATTCACACATACCCCATTTTACTTCTAAGTCTGTTAGGGCATGTTTTAAAACTCGTACTTATTATAAAAGTACGCTAATTTGATTCATTAAAAAAACTACGACGCGAGTACCCCGCACTGCAGGGGGTGTGAAAAATCGTGCACTTTACAGCACTAATCCCAATGCAGACCTTTAGATCTTTGCACACCATGACGCACTAATTACGAACGCGCAGAAAATATTTTCCCACCTGCACTGTAAGACTTCTGCCTAGTCTGTTGCAGAAAGTTTACATCTTTTTATCAACAGTCTGGTCTGTAAGTCCAGAGGAAAAACAAAAAAATATAAGGAAAAAGTTGCGCACCTGAAATGATTTATTTATAAATTATCCTTGGTGCGTAAAAAAATCGTGTAACAGCTAATGAGTTGCGTGGGGAGAATTTTACCGGATAAGAAACAAGGGTTCTCAAAAAGTAGAATCTTTAGTTTATAACTTACATCCTTAGTAAAGTAAACAATTTGAACGTAAACAAAATATATCTGTCTGAATAGGTTTGAGATTTAAATATTTTGTTGGTTTTCAATGTTTCATATTTTATACTATGCATTATGTTTAAAGCTTTACTGATGAGAATCTAAACCAATTTTAGAATGGAACATAGCTGTGTGGTATATAATATGTATTTGCTACAGTCGCAGGCTTTTGATTTGAGTATACCTGATATTTTAAGTACATTTAGAGTTCATGTTTTATGTTTATTCAATTTTATCTTTTCAATGTTTTATTATCGTTAATTAAGGCTAACGAATTATATTGCAAGCAGTGATCTGTGTTGATGTTTTCGTGATGCGTTTTGTTTTCAAAACACCAATACAGTGTTTACATTAATGGTATAATTTCGTATATAACGTTAAAATAATTCTTTAGAGTTATAATATGAAAATTGTTCTAAAATATATGCACAACGCTAGATTGTATCATTACGTTGCCGAAACTAAGAGCAAAACCCTAATCAAACTGTGTAGTTACTAGTCTCTGGTAGTCAAAATAAAATGTTCGCCATATTCTCCTCGACATCGGTGCTGTGGATGCCCATATCAAAAATTTAGGGACACGCTAATCAAACACCGAATGTAGTTACTAGTCTCCGGAAAAAAAAATTACAATTTTTCTCATGTTTTCCTCCACCAAGCGGTGTTGGGGATGCCCATTTGAAAATCAAAGGGAAAACCCTCATGCTCGGATCAAACGAAGCTAGTCTGTATCGTTACACTGCAGAATCTAAGGAAAATTCCTAATCAAACACAGAATGTAGTTACTTGTATCCAGAAATCAAAATTACAATTTTCTTATTTTTTTCCTCACCCACAGCGGTACTGTGGATACTCGGAAAACTTAGGGAAACCCCCTAATCAAACACCATTTGTAGCTACTAGTCTCTGGAAATCAAATTACAATTTTCTCCTTATTCTCCTCTATAGCGGTGCTGGGGATGCACGGCTCCAACGAAGCTAGACTGTATCGTTACACTGCTGAAACTTAGGGAAAAACCCAAACAAACACCAAATGTAGTTACTAGTTTCCGGAAATCATATTACAATTTTCTAATTTTATCCCTCCACAGCGGTGCTGGGTATGCCCGGCTTCAGCGATGCCAGACTGTATCGTTACACTGCTGAAACTTATGGAAAAACCCAAACAAACACCAAATGTAGTTACTAGTTTCCGGAAATCATATTACAATTTTCTAATTTTATCCCTCCACAGCGGTGCTGGGTATGCCCGGCTTCAGCGATGCCAGACTGTATCGTTACACTGCTGAAACTTATGGAAAAACCCAAACAAACACCAAATGTAGTTACTAGTTTCCGGAAATCATATTACAATTTTCTAATTTTATCCCTCTACAGCGGTGCTGGGTATGCCCGGGTCTAACGACGCCAGACTGTATCGATACATTGCAGAATCTACACCACGTGTAGCTACAAGTCTCCGGTCATCACAATACATTGTTCTCCTTATTCTCCCCCACAGCGGTACTGGGTATGCCCGGGTCCAACGACGCCAGACTGTACTCGGATATCGCCGAGATCATGATGCGAGACACGACCAAGTCCAACCCCAAGTCGGAGGGCAACTGCAAGCTGTTGTTCAACCCGCTCAACCTGAACAAAACGAACGGGGAGGCCTTCTATGACAGTCTTGTGAAGGGTCAGTGCATTTAGAAACTATCATAGGCGAATCCAGGGAATTCAAGAGGGGGGGGGGGCTCTAACTGAACTAAATTTTCTGACTACATACACATACGGCGAGGTCTTGCTGTAGAGAGCTATGACTGTTAACCCAAGAGTTTCGAGTTCGAATCCGGGTTTAAATAAGTAGAACGTCCCTGAGCCGACCCAGCTTTGATGGGTACCTAATTTACGTTAGGGGAAGCTAAAACTGCTGGGCATAGTGCTGACCACGCTATCCGTTCATATATTCTGAAGCAGATGAACTCTACTTCATCTACATCAACAGATTTGAATGATAATTTAGTCCATTTTGTAATAGTACCTAGAATTGTTTGACTTTTATAGCTTGTCCTCTGATTGCTAGTCGTTTGTTATTAACGTTTAATTATAGCCATTGAACTATTTTGAAAACTTATGTCAGGTTCTATAAACACATGGCGTAACATGAAACACACTGAACGCTTCATAATATCATATTACACTAGATGTTTTCAAAATATGTTTATTGTATAAAAACCACATGTAAAATTTGATAAAAAATATTTCGTTACTTGAGAAAACGTGATGGAAATACCAGACATACCTGAGTTTTGTAAAACCAGTACTTAGAGGTGGGAAATGTCGTCAGGTGTTGATCGGCTGGAACAAATACTGGCAAGGAGCAGACGACTGTTTTTTTTTCAATGAAAAATTTAGTAGGGTAAACTTAGGTCTAGCTACGAGTTCATAAGAATCGCCGAGAGATTCCTTAGTACTTACATGAAAGCGTATCTTCCATATTATTACATAGTTTTATATGACCACACTATCCTTTCATAATCTTTAACTTGCCCCATGGACCGTTAGGCAGAGGCGTAGCGAGGGGGGGGGGGGACGGGGGGACATATGTCCCCGGGCGCCGACCTTAGGGGGGGGCGCTAAATTGAAAGTTTGAGGGGGGGTGCAAATGAAAAGTTCGACGGGGGGGGGGGGGGGGAGGAAGGGGGTGCAAATGAAAAGTTCGAGGGGGGTGCAAATCGAAAGTTTGTCCCCGGGCGCCGGGAAGGGTCGCTACGCCTCTGCCGTTAGGTTGGAGTGGGAACTTTACTTATATGGGTGTACTCCAGATGTCTCCAGTGCCTACGTGAAAGTGTTTCGCATATTGTAATACGCAGCGATGTGATATGGCGTGGTCTAATGCTAGAGCTTTTGGCATCTATTTCCAGGATTTCCTTGGCCGGCTTACTTTCCACTTTACATGGGAATTCTAGTTTAGCGTTTTCATCGCGATGATGTCCTCTTCCCTTCTAAGGGTATGCCCTATCCATCCGCAACTCTAATTAACAGACGTAATGTAATTAATTAAATAATTCATTATCTTATTTTGCGTCATCAGCCAGAGACAACTTCGACAGCAGTAACGTCGCCGTGGCCATCGGTCCTTTCATCGAGGTGTTTTCATCGACCTCCTACGTCATCACCAAGCAGGTGCACATGCTGACGTCAGCTGCCGGACAGAATGCCGGCATGATGGATCCCAAACGTGTGGTCTCGATCTTACCGGAACCCAGGTAGGTTTGACTGGAACACAGGTAGGTTTGTCTGGAACCTAGGTAGGTTTGACCGGAAACCCAGATAGGTTTACAGTAACCCAGGTAGGTTTGATCTTACCGGAACCCAGGTAGGTTTGGCTTGAACCCAGGTAGGTTTGGCTTGAACCTAGTTAGGTTTTACCGGAGCACAGGTAGGTTTACAGTAACCCAGGTAGGTTTGATCTTACCAGAACCCATGTAGGTTTGGCTTGAACCCAGGTAGGTTTTACCGGAACACGGGTAGGTTTTACAGGAACCCAGGTAGGTTTTACAGTAACCCATGTAAGTTTTACCGGAACCATAGTAGGTTTTACCGGAACCCATGTAAGTTTTACCGGAAGCCAGGTAGGTTTTACCGGAACACAGGTAGGTTTTACAGTAACAAAGGTAGGTTTGACCGGAACTCAGGTAGGTTTTACTGGAACCCAGGTAGGTTTGACCGGTACCCAGGTAAGTTTGACTATAATCCAAGCAGGTTTTACCGGTACCCATGTAAGTTTGACTATAATCCAAGCAGGTTTTACCGGAACCCAGGTAGGTTTTACAGGAACCCAGGTAGGTTTGACTGGAACACAGGTAGGTTTGACCGGAACACAGGTAGGTTTGACTGGAACACAGATAGGTTTTACCGGAACCCAGGTAGGTTTCACTGGAACCCAGGTAGGTTTGACCGGAACACAGGTAGGTTTGACTGGAACACAGGTAGGTTTGACCGGAACACAGGTAGGTTTGACTGGAACACAGGTAGGTTTGACTGGAACACAGGTAGGTTTGACCGGAACACAGGTAGGTTTGACTGGAACACAGGTAGGTTTGACTGGAACACATGTAGGTTTGACTGGAACACAGATAGGTTTTACCGGAACACAGGTAGGTTTGACTGGAACACAGGTAGGTTTGACTGGAACACAGTTAGGTTTCACCGGAATTCAGGTAGGTTTTACCGGTAGGTTTGATCTTACCGGAAGCCAGGTATGTTTGCCTTTTTATTGTAATTATTATGATCTGTTCAAGCGTAATTAATTTACCTGTCTGTAATCAGATCTAGTTTAATTGACCTTATAATCAGCCCTCCTGTAATTAACTTAATGGCAACTGAACCAGGTGAAACTTTTTTTCACATACCTATGTATCTTTGCAAATATTATTCAAAGAAAATAATGAAACTTTCTTTCACAGACTAATGAACACTTTACACTTTTTCCGCCAACTCTCATCTAATATAATGTAATATACCATTTTGTTAGACACGAACCGTTATATTATATAATGTATCTGGTTGTGCCCAAATCCCCTTTACACATACACACACACATACATCCACACCCACACCCACACAAACACCCACGGTGCCCACCTCCCACATCCACCCACCCCCACCTCCCACCCCCACACCCCCCAAACACCCCCACACACATATATACACACAAACAACCCAACCTAGTACTAGTTATTGCTGATGAGCTATTAAGCAATTTTTTCCTAAACTTTCTAACTGAATTAATTCACATCAATTAATTTACTGTTTATTAATATAGGAGATAAGTTACTAAATAAATACATATGATAAACCTGCTGAAATTAACTAATTAATATCTTGTTTTAACTTTAATTAATAGCATGATTTGTCTTATTCTACCTAGTTCCTTATCGACGGGTATAGCAAAGACGGTGATCAGGATAGGATGGAAGAATGTTGCATTCCTCGCACAAGGTAGGGCATGGCTGATAATCTCATCTTAGACTGAGGTGTATTTGATTCCCATAGGCAACGATTCATGATGAAAAATGAACATGTTTTATATTATGGTATACAGTGTAAACCTATTAATAAACTCTATATTAGGGAATATATTTTATATAAGTGAGCGACCAGGCTTTAGTTTTTAGTAAAGATAGAACCTTGCTTTGAGACGGCGTGGCCTAGAGGTAGAGAGCTCGACTGCTAACACCAGTCTCGAGTTCGAATCCGGATTCAAATCAGTGGTAAGTCTATGGTGGGTAGGTTTACGTTAGGAAAATAAAGGCGGCTGGGCATAGTGCTGACCACCCTATCCCTTTATATTCCGAGGTCAATAAATCAGATGAACTCTACTTCATCTGCCCTATGTGTCTTGGGCACGAACGGGATTAAGAAGAAGGGAAGAAGAACATTGCTTTAGTAATGTTACACCAAATTAATTTTTATTTTTTTATTTAGTGCTTTTTGTTTTTGTTTCACTATTTATATGACTTTAAATGACTTACCTCTTTCACGATTTAGATAACTATACCATCTATACCACTAGATGACTTCACATGACTTACCTGTTTCACTAGATGACTTCACATGACTTACCTGTTTCACTAGATGACGTACATGACTTACCTGTATCACTAGATGACTTCACATTAATTTCCTGTATCACTAGATGACTTCACATGACTGTATCACTAGATGACCTCACATGACTGTATCACAAGATGACTTCAAGTGACTTACTTGTATCACTAGATGACTTCACATGACTGTATCGCTAGATGACTTCATATGACTTACCTGTATCACTAGATGACTTCACATAACTTACCTGTATAACTAGATGACTTCACATGACTGTATCACAAAATGACTTCACATGACTTACCTGTATCACTAGATGACTTCTCCCCCGTGCTGAGCCTGGGGCAGAACAACGTCACCGTGTGGCCCATACGTCTCCCAAATAAGGTCAGGTCACCAGATGACCCGGAACTCGTCAGAAACCTGATCGAACTGCGCAAGTCAGAAAAAGAGAGGTTCATCCTACACTCAAACAAGCGAGATGTCGTCATGAATGTTCTCATAGCGGTACGTGGAAAAAACATATATGTCTATAGTCTATATATATATAAACCTATATTTGTAAGTCTTTTATATACCCCCCCCCCCCTTCCAGTGTGCGATTGATATCGGTCTAACTGAAACGAATGATGCTTTGAGATTGAAAATTCTACACATAACATGTACACTCTGCTTATCAACATGTTAAAGATTGCGTAGCTCTTATTACATACATATTATTAGGTGTACATACCCATAAACGTAAGTCAAGATGTTAAAACAACATACATAACTGCCATAATTGATTTAATATTCTTAAGTGTTGGTTTTTTTAATTAAGAATGGCTATAGGCCTACTACGAACAGCTAATTTTACGTCATTATTCATTAAAACATTGAATATATAACACATTTTTTCTACACACAAAACAATTAAGGAAATAGCAAAATAGTGGTATCAACATTTTATAATTAAACATAAAGTAATATGTCGTAGCGAGCATACATAATATACAACGCGAAGATACGATTTTATACTGCGTTGATAGTAGCGGTTTTCTATGTGTTTTCACTGTGGCCAGAGATCCCGCCCCACCAGACGGTAGTTTATTTTTAGCCTGCACTCCCCATTCACCCCAGGGGGTACTCACGCAAGCCGCACACCTTTAATATTTATTTTTTTTAAACTAAAAAAAAAAAATTAAAAAAAATCCCAGAACATGTAAGTGTCCGCCCACACTACAACTTCCCCTTTTTTAACTCTCGGATCATCGGTGATTTTATGCCTGCTTGAGTTACCTGCCCGTGTTTCTGTCCTCAATGACTGACGTCACTCCCGGTCCTGTCTTTTTTAATTAGCGTTCTAATTATAATTTTTTAACTTTTAAATTTAAAAATATTTTATAGCCTGCAATTATTAATAACATTGAAAAGCTAAACTTCTAAATTGCCTTACTATAATTTACATTTGACATGAATTATTTCAGGTTTTATGAGTTAAGCTTAAACGGATTACAATACTGAGAAAAAGCATAGTCTGGTTGAAGCTCAACTAGAGTTTATGTGTCATTTAAGCTCGGGGTTTAAATGACTTATCTGTGTTTTCTTCTAGCATGGAGCTTAAATTATCAATCTGAGTTCTTCCAACTGGGAGTTAAATGACCTATCTGTGTCCGTCGACTCAGAGCTTAAATGACCTATTTGCATCTAACCAACTAGGTGATTAACGACCTTTCTTGGAAACATATGAACTCTACTTTATCTGCCATTCGGATAATCCGATCTACACCTTTACTACATTCGGGCCAGCTAAATAAAAACAACACAATGACCCATACTAGCGTATTAAAAACAACAACTCTATAGTGCCAACAAACGCTTACTAGGACAGGTGAAGTAGAGCTCATGTGTTTTGCAACCACCACATTACAGAATAATGCACCAGATTTAAGCTTATTCCCATCATGGTTTTGGTTCTAACTAGAGCTTACCCTAACGCTAATCTTATCAACCATACCTAGACGAATTAAACATGCGCTAAGCCTCTGTACACTTGCATGTAACATTTCCTATATTTATACACGCGAGTAACAAAAAAACGTACGACTCTCTTCAAAGGTTTCAAAATTTCTAATGTCAAACCTCATCTTTGTAAAAAATAATCCTTTAATCCCAGATTTACTTAATCTTTTTAAAAGCTTAAAATATTTAAATTTTTATACAGCTTGTATTTATCTTTAAAAAAAAAAATAGAAATTTTTAAAAAGATTGGAGATCAAAGTATACTTATCTTTAGGAGAACGGTATCTATTTCAAAGTGTGATGCTACTAATCTTGATTGAAAGACGTGACCGGGGTGCTTAACTTCAATGACGCGTCTCTAGATCATAATCCCGTAGTCATTAAGATACTCATCTCTTTTTGACGTAAGTCTAATTACTAATCAGCGTGTCGTTGATGGATTCTAAAAATAGTAGGTCGTTAATTTGGATACTAATCAGTTATGACGTCAGTCTGTATGCTTATCGGTTAAGTCGTGTTGGAGATTTTCTTCTTGTTCCTCTTCGTTGTTAATCGTAATGTGGGACTGGATTTCCTCCAACACAATAAAGTATTACATGTCAGCCTGTTATGCGCCATATAGGGGCATGTTGGATATTAAAATAGTAGCCCACTAGTCTGAATACTCTTTCTCTCTCTCTCTCTCTCTCTCTCTCTCTCTATGCCTCCCTCTTGATCTCTGGATTAGGATTATTATGGGGTCAAACTTCTACTTCTTCTTCGTTCTTAATTGTAAAATTGGTACTGCGTGCCAAATTAATTTATCTCTGGGATACTTTCTATAGTTTATGTACGACCAAGAAAAATATACACGGCAGCATTTGTTAGATTTTGGTGTTGCCTTGTTTCTTCTCCTAGATGTGTTGTTGTCCAAGGGAGCGAACTCAGAACTTTTTAAGTTAGCCATTTATTTACTCTTGCTCTCTATCAAGCCGTCCCCGGTTTCCTATCTAAATTTACCTTGATGAAAATAACAGAATCCAAAAAAAAAAAAAAAAAAAAAGGAAATATGCTGTAAATTATTTCTATGTCAGCTTGACCTTTCTATGTTCACTAGCGTACACAACGCAACATTCTTTATGTTTGAATTTTATAACAGTAGCTTAATCCGGTTCAAGTTAGTGGAACGTCCCTGCGTCCACCCAACCCTGATGGGTACCTAACTCATGTTAGGGAAAGTAAGGGCGGCTGGGCATACTGTTGACCACACTATCCCTTTATATGCCGAGGTCAAGAAACATATGAACTCCACTTCATCTGTCTAATGGATCGTTAGGTCTAAAGAGGAATCTTTAGCTTTATTTGTATTCTATTCTCTCGCCATATAGACCGTCAGGTTAAAAAAAGATAAAATGCATTACATTGGTTACTTAAAAATCAACAGCCAACTAGCGAATGGTTTGCTTAAAAAAATTAAGTTTAATTTAATTTAATTACTAGTCTTGCTTTTATTTCGCAAATATATAGGTCTATATCGTGTTTTCAAAATCAGAACATCCGTTTAACTATTATAAAAATGACGAAAAAGTTAAAACATATTTTATAATGATTATAGAAATAAACATAAATAGTAATAAAAAAATAAAAACTTGCAAAAAAGTGTGTTTTTCTTCCAAAGCGTTAAATTATGGCATGTCCACAAATACAAACAAACCAAGTCTTAAAACGCACCCAGTACAAGTCGAATAAAGCAAAAAAAAATATCAGTCAAGCATCGTCCAATGTTTATCTAATTTTAAAATAAAATTCCAGCATTTATTTTTGTATGTGGTGAATTCCCTTGATAATTGCATTCATTGACATATGGAGCATTGCATGGGAGTCTAGTGATGACGTACATTCCTCACCTGCTAATGGTCTGGAACTGTGAGGTATTTCTAGTACTCACCTGATAAAAAAAAAAAAAAACAAAAAAAAACAAAAAAAAAAACAAATAGCAACTTTGAAACCTTTCTGTACGTGTCACTGAAGCGATTAGCCTCAATGGCGACCACCAGGAAATTTTAGACTGCTGAGAATTTATAGAGGGCTTGGTGGGGGGTGGGGGGGGGGGGGAGATGGGAAGAATGGAGAAGAGCATCGTGGGGGATTGAGTGCTTGAAGGGAAGAAATCGTGAACAAACTGCGCCAATTTGTAAATGTAAATATTGGTTTTATATATGAAAACATTTGTTTTATATATGTAAATATTTATTTTATATACGTAAATATTGGTTTTTATATGTAAATATTGGTTTTATATATGTAAATATTGGATTTATATAGAAGTAAATAACACTCATGCATACCGCGTCACAGACAGAAACACACAGATATATACATAGGCACAGAATTAGACATACATGTACACAGATAGACACACACACAGGCACAAGCCCACATAAAGAGACATACACATATACACAGAGAAACAAAAAAAAAGCATACGTAGATAGTAACATTAAGATATGTAAACAATCACAGACACACAGACATACAGACATACAGACATACAGACACACAGACACACAGACACACAGACACACAGACACACAGACACACAGACACACAGACACACAGACACACAGACACACAGACACACACAGACACACACAGACACACACAGACACACACAGACACACACAGACACACACAGACACACACAGACACACACAGACACACACAGACACACACAGACACACACAGACACACACAGACACACACAGACACACAGATACACACAGTCACACACAGACACACACATACACGCCTTATTTACGCACGCTTGCACACAAACACACACATAACCTAGTTACACATACATGTATAGATCCATCTGATCCAGTGCAAAACTCGGTTAATTAAAAAGCATGACTCGAGTAAATGGCAGGGCAAGGACACGGCTATCTTGTCAAATGTATTTTTAATGATCTTGTCATAACAACCTTTTTTGTTCAGATGACTTTTACGAATGGCTAATTAAGGTGAGGCATAGGGTTATGTTTTATGGTGTTCTTTAGGATAGCATGGAAGGTATCGCTGTGTAGATGCAGTGGTGTGGTTAGGGTGGTGTTTACTTACAGTTAAAATGACCAATACTTAAAATGGCCATCGAGTTACATAAAAACATATAAATTTATCTTTTGAACGTAATGTGTAAAGTATTATGTTGTTACACCATGCTTGGTTCCTTAAAACATTAGAATTAGGAAAAATACGAACTTATAAAGACAGAGGCGTAGCAACCTTCCCGGCACCCGGGGACAAACTTCCGATTTGCACCCCCCTCAAACTTTCGATTTACACCCCCCCCCCCTCAAACTTTCAATTTTTTTTTCAACCCATTTTGGCGCCCCTTAAGTTCGGCGCCTGGGGGCATATGTCCCCCCCCCCCCCCGCTACGCCTCTGTATAAAGATAATCATATTAAACATGATGATCTGTAGTGGTGAACGATATTTAAACCTTTTGCAATCATAGTCACATTAATACCATGAATAATAAATCTCACCATTTTCTCTACCAGTCTTATCCCGGGAACCCATTAAAGCTGGGTGAGCTCAAGGGACTGCAATAAATCCCTTCATGTGTCCTACTACACAAAACAAAAACTGATATCTATAATCCTCTTGGTCACCATAAAAATCTCTGGCTCACCTAGACGCTCACCAACTGCATACTAATTCAGCACTCACCAATGCAACCGAGTCACCCAGATACTCAACGCTTGCCCTGCGCTATTCCCATAGGTCCTATCGCCGACATGTTGCATAATAGCCTGCCAATGAATCGCCGAGTAACTGCCAACAACATGGCGCCACACTGTATCCTCAATATAGGTCAATGAATTGTTTTATTTTTTATTTTTTTCAGGGGAAATAACCACGTCGTTTTACTTAAATATTAGTATTTTCGTCGGTACTTCCATATGATATTATTTGCAGCAATATTGTCAATTAATATGTATGAAGTTTATAAACAAAATCTGATGATAATTCCGTGTTTAGCGTCACTATAAACTCTGTTCAGTTGATTTAAGTAATCAAAAATATAAACACAGAATTTCTTTTTCAAAAAGTAAATTACAATTAGCACAACTTAAAATAATTAGCTAATTTCTGGACACACTTCTCCAAGAGCAAAGAAATAATTATTTTCATTGTGTATCGTAAAGTATACGAATAGTATTTAAAAGCTGGTTCCGAATTGTTGTTGCCAGAAAGCATATTTTTCAACCAAAAGTGAATATTTTATAACATTAGTGAAATAATTACAAAATGACTTCCTGTTTTAATAAGGCTAGAATATTCAAACAAATAATTACTAGTGATATAATAGTAATTTGGCTAACACTTATTTTTAATTTGGATTAGTCGAGTCAGGATGTCGTGGTGATAGAGGGTGTTAAATTATTTAATATAAATAAACTACTAGGCCAGGGGTCGGCAACCTGCGGCTCGCGAGCCGCATGCGGCTCTTTTGATATCAAGATGCGGCTCTCCAGCTCCTTGCACAAATACTAATAATCTTAATAAAAAAATAAAATATTTGAAATAAAAAAATGTTAGTGGCTCTTTTAAACCAGGGAAATTTTGAAAATTGTAACTTTTGGCTCTTCCGCTTCAAAAGGTTGCCGACCCCTGTACTAGGCTATACCCCATTGACCGCTATTGTGTATTTTATTTATCATGGAAAACAATTGTTGTGACTTTTATTGTTTTGCTTTCTCTGTTGACTTTGATGAGAGGTTGAGGGCGGTTTTTAAAAAAAATATTTGAATTGATAAAGTAATTCAAAACGGTTTTCAACAATTAAAAAAATGAAAATGAGTGTAATAATCTATGGTTCCGAAACAGCTTTAATTCTTACAAATGGAACTATAATTTTATCGCTTTGAATATTTTTTAAAATATAAAAAAATAATAATATAATTACATAGACTTTTCGAGCCTCTTGAGTGGGTTATTTATTCATGAAAAATTGTCGAAATTTATTTTCAGGCGCAGCAACTCCATCTACTCCATCACTCAATCGAATGGTTTGTTACCTACCCTGTAAGCAAATAATCTTTCTACGCCTTAAAAAAAAAAAAAAAATAAAAATAAAATACATGATGTATTGTTAATATAAAAATATCTTCTCTTAATATGTACGAACGTTTTCAACAATTGGTAGCTACTTTAGTGATAAAACATAATGTAAATATAATAATAAAATAAAATGGGTTGTTTTTTTTTTTAAGAATTAATGTTAATAATTTAAGTTAATTTAAAATTTAACACAGCTATGTTTTAAATGAATCTGAAATCGTTATATTATTTCGATTTGAAATGCGATGCTGATCTTGTATGTTTTTTTAAATCGATTTAGGACTTTTACGATCTGATCAGGGAAAACGAAACATGGCCGGGTACTCTATTTGGGCTGCAACTGCTCGTCTCCTCCAAGATTCCACCCAATATTTCTGGTAAGTTTTGTATGATGTGGAATGGCGTGGTTGAGTCTATAAAGCTCATGGCTGCTAAACCGAAAAGTTCCGAGTTTGTTCGAGGCTCGATAGCAGGGGATAGGAACCCATCTAGGAGAGACAACTCAAAAATCAAACAACTGCTGCCTTGGTAGTTTTGTTTTTGAAAGGACAAAGGGTATGAAACAAAGTCTAAAAATAAATGCAGGCTTAAGTCGCAGTCAACGGCCTTCATGACGCATACCATGTTGACACGTAATTGTTAATAGCGTTCGCGGACCCCCCCCCCCCCTCCCCTCTCCTACATAACAATTTAAGTAGGAAGAAGATGAAGTTAAAGCTAAAGATAGAAACTTGTCACATTTTCATAAATTAAAATCAGGCATGGTAAACTGTTCTAAGTTTGTTAAATGCTAGTATAAACATTTCAAAAGCTGTTAATTACCAAATACATTACGTTCTCTTTAAGTATTTTTGTCACTTTTTCATACGTTAAAGTTAAGTACGATAAACTTTTTAAAAATTTTAAACCCGAAAGTAAAAAATTTCAAAGGTTGTCTTTTTAATAAATTAAAGTCAAGTACGGTAAACCTTTTAAATATTTTAAACACGAATCTACACAATTTCAAAGGTTGTCTTTTTCATAAGTTAAAGTCAAGTACGGTAAACCTTTTAAATATTTTAAACCCGAATGTAAAAAAAAATCAAAATTTGCTAAACTCAGATGTTGTCCACATTCCCAGAGGTCGTGAAGGCCAACAACATGACCTTGTCCCGTCTGGAACTCGGGTTGGCCGTGGACGTGGTTGGCATCCTGAAACACGTCATCATGAACGAGTACAAGAACTGCGTCACGCCGGTCGTCACCGAGAACAAATTCGTGTCTAACGAGATCTTCCAGTGGCAACTGGAGAACCAGGTTACACAGCGTGATGTAAGGCTGGGGGGCGTGGCTGGGCATGGGGGTGTGTCTCACACTCTGCATGATGTGCCATGGGATGACGGAATCGTGTGCTATGCACTAACAGAATGGTGCATGATGTGCCATGGGATGATGGAATCGTGTGCTATGCGCTAACAGAATGGTGCATGATGTGCCATGGGATGATGGAATCGTGTGCTATGCGCTAACAGAATGGTGCATGATGTGCCATGGGATGATGGAATCGTGTGCTATGCGCTAACAGAATGGTGCATGATGTGCCATGGGATGATGGAATCGTGTGCTATGCGCTAACGGAATGGTGCGCAGGTTATGGCATCTTTCGTCTTGGTGTGCTGTGCTATGTACTAACGGAAAATAGCATAATGTGTCTAGGGATAACGGAATGGTGTGCTATGGGCTAACAGAATGGTGCGCAGCATCCAGTGCTTATGGAAGGGTGTGTAGCATTTAGCATAATGCATCTAGAGCGAATGGATTGGTGTGCTGTGTACTAACTTACATAGCTGTGTAACAACTAACACAATTTGCTTTGTTATGTATGAATGGTGTGCTGTGAAGAAGCGTGTCTTTGTCACATTAAGGTAATGGGATGCTGCTTGCTAACAAAATTAAGTATATATTTATAAATTATTATAAAAGCATAACTCGGAATAGTATGCTATGTACTAGCACAGCTGTCTGTGTAATACACGCTAACAGTGTGTTGTCAGCAGTACTAACAGTAACTTACATAGCTCAGAGCTTTTACATGGTAGGTAGATACTGGTATGTACTTTACATAGCCAAGCTTTTATTAAAACTTTAATCTTATTATTTTTTTGTAAATGCTAAATTTATATTTTCGAACTAACATCTAACTGAATGTATTTATTTAAAATGAAAAATAATATATATATATATATATATATATATATATATATATATATATATATATATATATATATATATATATTTATATTCATATATATATTTATATATTATAAGCACATTAATAATTTCGAAATTGGTTATTTTTTAAAAGTAAAATTAACCTCATTTTAGCAAACACGTATCATTAAATAATATATTTCCTAAACGATGATACTGCCATGTAATACACATAGGCCTACTATCTCTCCTGGCTTGTTCCGGTTCTGACGTCACTTCCGTGTCTCCCTCAGACCATGCGCTACCACGGTGCCTTGGGTGAGTACGCCTGGCACAAGGAGACCAAGGTCCGAACAGGTTTCAACATCGACATCATCATGTACCACAACGGTAAACCTACCGTAAGTAGGTTTTTGTATTGTAACACTCACATCAGGATGTACATGTTTCAACATTGACATTATCATGTACCTTTACGGTAAACCTACAGTAAGTAGGTAATTGTGTTGTAACACATCATGATAAACTGGTTTCAACATTGACATCTCTTCATGTACCACTACAGTAAACCTACCCTAAGTGGGTTTTAGTCATGAATCATTTACATCATGACGTACTTGCAACATCGACATCATAATGTAAAAGTTAAACCTACTGTCAGTAGGTTTTTAGGTTTTTGTGTTGTAACACTTACATCATGATGTACATGTACCACAATAGTAAATCTACTGTATGTAGGTTTTTCTTTTGCAACACATCATGATATAAGCCTATGTGTTTTAACATCAAAATCATCATGAACCACTACGGTAAATCTACATCGTGATGTACAGGTTTCAAAATTAGTATTAGTATATTACACAATGATTTACCTACCGTATGTAGTTTTTATTTTCTGACACTTACATCATGATGTATGGCTATATGTTTTTACATATAACCGTAACAAAGTTTTTATGTTGTAACACTTAGGTCATAATGTGCATGTTTCAACATCACATCTAATTATTATGTTTCAATCAACTGTACAACTGTATGCAGTTTCTTCCATGCTCCTCCCCCCCCCCCCCCCCCAAGAAAAAGAGTGTTTACCGCCCTTCCCCCCCTAACGAAATGGATTTTATATAGAAAATATATTTTTAACAGTGTCCGACCCCCCCCCCCCCTCCCCAGAAATTTTAGTACTCTCCCCCACGAAATTTTCAAGAGCCGCCCGGAGAAAAAGGTCTGGAAAAAACACTGGCTGTATGTAAATGTAACTCACACCGAGTGAGCAGTTGTTTCTATATTTAGAGGGCCGGCAACATCACGTTCCACAACAACGACTGCACCGTGAACTACTTCAAGTCTAGGGTCAACAGGACCAGAGCCAAGGAGCACTTCCTGTTCGGGAAGGACGAGATTCTTAGAGTGGCGACTAAAGAGGTGAGTGCGGAGTTCTTGTGTGGTGCTGTACATGATGGGTGCGGTGTTAGCTAAATGGTGCTAGTTTTTCTGTTGCTTTACTATGCCGGTGCTAATTTTACTTGTACATAGTACAAAATCGTCTTAGACCTAGAATTCCGTTGAGCTGATGAAGTAGAGTTCATGTTTTCTCACCACGGCATATAAAGTGATGGTGTGTTCAGCATTTTGCCCAGCATCACAGTTGAGTGGACTCAGGGACGTTCTACTTTCACAAATCAAAACCTAGATCCAAACTCGAGACTTTCAGGCTAGCAGCTAAACGCTCTACCATTCAACCACGCCGTTCCATTTTTATTAATGCTTTAATCAAAATGGTTCTAGTTTTACTGGTGCTTCACTGCAAATAGTGCTAGTTAAAATTGTGCTTTACTGAAAATGATGCTACTTTTACTTGTGCTTTGCTCCATATAGTCTATTTGAACTTGTGCATTACTCAAAATGGTGCTAGTTTTACTGGTGCTTTAAACGGTGCTACTTTTACTTTCTCTAGTCTTTTTGTATTGAATGTTTTACTGTAGGTAGCCCACTAATTGTATTGATGCTAAGCTCTGAATGGAGCTAAAATGTCACAGTTTTTAGCCTGTCATAATTTTAGGTTAACTTGTGCATTTTTTCTAATGGTGCACATTTTACAAGTGCTGTTTTAATATGGTGTTGGAATTTCTGGTGCTACACTTTTAATGATTCTTTTTTTCACAAGCTGGCCTCCTAATAGTACTACTTTCACTAGTGGAGCTTTGTTTGGATATTTCTTTGTGGTCCCTACCTTCCCAGATTTTAATTAAACACAACACACTGATTTTGCCGTCTCTAATGCCCCAATGCTTGCTATCTTCCTACAGCAAGATCCCTTCGTTAGCCGACTCTAATGTCCCCGTGTTTACTATCTTTCTGCAGCAAGATCCCTTCGTTAGCCGACTCTAATGCCCCAGTGTTTGCTATCTTTCTGCAGCAAGATCCCTTCGTTAGCCGACTCTAATGCCCCAGTGTTTGCTATCTTCCTACAGCAAGATCCCTTCGTCATAAAGAGAGGTGACGGCTACATCGGGTTCAGCATTGACCTCCTGGACCTGCTCAAGAAGAAGGTCAACTTCTCCTACGAGCTGTTTGAGGCAGAGGACGTCAAGACCAACGGCTCTAGTCCCCTGGGGGAGAACGGGATGGTGTACGCTCTACAGACGGGGGTAAGGGGTTTGTGGGTGGTGGTGGGGGGGGGGGGCTGTTCAGTCATGACCCATCTCCTACAGACGGGGGTAAGGGGTTTGTGGGTGGTGGGGGGGGGGGGGGCTGTTCAGTCATGACCCATCTCCTACAGACGGGGGTAAGGGGTTTGTGGGTGGTGGTGGTGGGGGGCTGTTCAGTCATGACCCACCTTCTACAGACGGGGGTAAGGGGTTTGTGGGTGGTGGTGGGGGGCTGTTCAGTCATGACCCATCTCCTACAGACGGGGGTAAGGGGTTTGTGGGTGGTGGGGGGGGGGGGCTGTTCAGTCATGACCCATCTCCTACAGACGGGGGTAAGGGGTTTGTGGGTGGTGGTGGTGGGGGGCTGTTCAGTCATGACCCACCTTCTACAGACGGGGGTAAGGGGTTTGTGGGTGGTGGTGGGGGGGCTGTTCAGTCATGACCCATCTCCTACAGACGGGGGTAAGGGGTTTGTGGGTGGTGGTGGGGGGGCTGTTCAGTCATGACCCATCTCCTACAGACGGGGGTAAGGGGTTTGTGGGTGGTGGTGGGGGGCTGTTCAGTCATGACCCACCTTCTACAGACGGGGGTAAGGGGTTTGTGGGTGGTGGGGGGGGGGGGGCTGTTCAGTCATGACCCATCTCCTACAGACGGGGGTAAGGGGTTTGTGGGTGGTGGTGGTGGGGGGCTGTTCAGTCATGACCCATCTCCTACAGACGGGGGTAAGGGGTTTGTGGGTGGTGGGGGGGGGGGCTGTTCAGTCATGACCCATCTCCTACAGACGGGGGTAAGGGGTTTGTGGGTGGTGGTGGTGGGGGGCTGTTCAGTCATGACCCACCTTCTACAGACGGGGGTAAGGGGTTTGTGGGTGGTGGTGGGGGGGCTGTTCAGTCATGACCCATCTCCTACAGACGGGGGTAAGGGGTTTGTGGGTGGTGGTGGGGGGGCTGTTCAGTCATGACCCACCTTCTACAGACAGGGTAAGGGGTTTGTGGGTGGTGGTCGGGGGGGGGGGGGGTGGGCTGTTCAGTCATGACCCATATCCTACAGACGGGGGTAAGGGGTTTGTGGGTGGTGGTGGTGGGGGGCTGTTCAGTCATGACCCATCTCCTACAGACAGGGGTAAGGGGTTTGTGGGTGGTGGTGGGGGGGTGTTCAGTCATGACCCATCTCCTACAGACGGGGGTAAGGGGTTTGTGGGTGGTGGTGGGGGTGGGCTGTTCAGTCATGACCCATCTCCTACAGACGGGGGTAAGGGGTTTGTGGGTGGTGGGTGGTGGGGGGGGGCTGTTCAGTCATGACCCATCTCCTACAGACGGGGGTAAGGGGTTTGTGGGTGGTGGTGGTGGGGGGCTGTTCAGTCATGACCCACCTTCTACAGACGGGGGTAAGGGGTTTGTGGGTGGTGGTGGGGGGGTGTTCAGTCATGACCCATCTCCTACAGACGGGGGTAAGGGGTTTGTGGGTGGTGGGTGGTGGGGGGGGGGCTGTTCAGTCATGACCCATCTCCTACAGACAGGGTAAGGGGTTTGTGGGAGGTGGTGGTGGGGGGAGGGCTGGCCACTCATGACCCATCCTCTACAGACGGGGGTAAAGATGTTAGGTGGGTGGGGGAGAGATACGGTTCGGTCAGGATCCATCGCTAACAGACGGGGGTAAGAATTTTCTGGAGGTGGGGGGATGAGGGGGGAGGGATGGGAGAGATACAGATCAGTCATGAACCATCTCATATAGACGCGGTGGCGGGGAGAATTTTTTGTGCTTGTGTGTGTAAGGGGGTGGGGGGAATTCAATATGACAGGCGTGTGCAAAATATATAAGTTGAGTCATTTCTTTCTTCATCTTACCAGACGTTAGTAAGGATATGTAAAATATATATTGCGTCATTATATTTGATGTTAAAGGAAGGATACGTTAGCGATCACTTCATGCTAAAATATACCTACGAGGGTAAAGAATATGTACGGGTTGTCTTGAAATAACACTTTTAATTCTAAATTGATCATTGGACTTGTTTAATTACTGCATGTATCTTATACACTGAAAAGAATCAACGCCATAGCTTTTGATATATAATTTGCAATCAGCATTGATTTTTGTAACATGTTGATTTCTGACAACTAGATGACCCCGTCAAGTCGCTTCTGATAACTATGATTTTTTTTTTCTTACGCGTTTAAATTTGTAATCTTTTTGATAATTTTAATTTTCATAAATATGTGTGATTGTACTTATCCTTGAATCTACTCTAATGCTCACGTTGATGTCTAAGTGCATCATATTTAAATACATTTGACACATATACTCGTCTAATCTACTTCACCAGAATGCCAGTATGGCTATAGGTGCCCTGGAGGTCTCAGCAGAGAGGGAGAACACCATCTCCTTCTCCTACACCATCCTCTCCTCCCAAGCCTCCATCCTCATCAAAAAGGCGGACAGCACCACAAACTTCTTCCAGTTTCTGGGGCCATTTTCTGCATGTAAGTCTAGTCTGGGTAACGTCTGAGTCTTGTCTAAGTTAGGTGTGAGTTTTTTCTAAGTTAGGTGTGAGTCTTGTCTAAGTTAGGAGTAAGTCTTGTCTAAGTTAGGTGTAAGTCTTGTCTGGGTAACGTCTGAGTCTTGTCTGACGTGAGAGTCTTGTCTAAGTAACGTGTGTCTTGTCTAAGTTATGTGTGTCTTGTCTAAATGACCTGTAAGTCTGGTCTAAGCAGTACCGGCGCCAGGTTATTTAGCGCCCCCTTTCACACAAATTAATTACTAAAGCATATGTATAAGAAAACAATTAATCAAAAGTGACATATTAACTTATTATCAATTGCATACACGTTTTAAGTAGACATCAAAAACTTATTTTACTTGCCTCCTTCGTCTCAAAAGTTTGTGCTAAGTCCTTCAATTCCAGTTTGCAAGCGTAATTATATTTTATTGAAATTGTTGATAATTGCACGAGTCTACTTTGTACTTAACAACATAGCCCCCCTCCCTCCCCCCTTAGAAAATTTTAAGTGCTCCCCTTCCCCCCCCCCCTCTCCAGGGAGAAAAAAAGTTTGAAAAAAACCACTCAATCAAAAAAAAGTGCTTGTAGTGTTGGGCTCCCTGCAGTCCTCCCAAGGTGAATTCCAAAACGGAACCTAACTGTTTTAAGTGATTGTCTTTAGTTATAATTGTAAAATGTCTATATTGTGTGATTATGTAACAATATTTTGGTTTCTGAAAAATGAAAATCTATAAATAATATAGATTCCAGCCTAAAATTGCTATATATGAATCCTTTAGGAGAGGGTGAAATATATGAAACGACAATTAATTAGATGTTTAATTTATGACGAAGACTGTATGTCTACTAAGATTAAGTATTGCAAACTATAACGGCTACTGATATATTGTTTTTCAAATTGATAATGCTAAAAATAAATGCCAAATTATTTTGTTTAGAACTTAAGCTCTATATAATTGTTACAATAGCAAATAATAACTTAAATTTGTATTTATAAGTAAGCGGTCAACCTAAGGTGCAGGAATTTGAAATGTATGTAGAGTTAAGCAATGAATTATCTCCCATTTTAAAATTTAAATCCCAAATTTGTTATCAAGGGAAATAACTTTTACAAGAACAGCTCAATTAACTAAGTGTAACTAAGACATGCTTGAAAAACACATCAAAACATTCTAAATTTCATTATGTCATAATTATAACGATTTTGTTTATATTATCTATGTAAACTTGTAAAAACAATATATTTTACCTATTGAATACTTAACTGTAGGCTTTGCTTGAAAGTCTAAAAACGGTAGCTATATTATAACATACTTCTATTCAATTTTGATGACATACTCTAATAGCAGACTTACTTATATGTGTTGTATTAAATTTTGGATCCCCTAAATAAAGGGACACCTTTTAGACATTGCTAGAATTATTGATTAAATAAAAAAAATCTAATTTGAAAAAACAAAGTTTACGGATAGGTATGAATTCCATCCTATTTAATATTATATATTAATACTTTAAGTGTGGCAATACAGATTCCAAAAACGCCTACCATTCTGTGTAGTGTTTCGTACTGAATTGAAATCATCGAACTTATGATAAACTCGACTACTCGAAATAGGCCTACTCTACTACATTCAAAACACATATCAAACTACGATACCTAAACATAACTAGACTGGATGCTCCAGAACTACGACACCAACTCGCTTTACTTCACCAAGCTCTACAAACGGTACTCCCAATCAAGAACGATTTCACTGGACCTACTATTACACTTTAACATTCAATATAATTCGATTCCTTAATACCACAAGAATCGATGCTCTCGAACTCCAGAACTAAAATACTTCATCACATGCATTCTCATTTCTCTATTACAAATCAGATTCCACTAATAGACCTTCAACTACAAAACAGCCGTATAAAAATTATGACACTAACACTTTTATACTTTATACCTACGAAACCATATCAGCAACAGCTTTCCGCCGTTACTCCCAAATCTAAACGATTCATCAAAACTTACCAAACAAGTTCAATACTTTGAACATCCCGTCATTACAAAACTCTGTACACCAGGACATATTTCTAATTCAAAGTCAGAGAAAACTAGACTTACAAGCCCTATTAAAGTCAAATAACCGTTTTAATAGCGAACTTATTTAATCGTTTTTTACATCAATTATGTTACACCGCGAGGGCGGGGCGGGGGGTGAGGACCGCACCGGGTGACACCATATAAGGGGTTACAACAGGGGAAAAAATTGCAAAAAAGTATAGAAGAAAAAATCTTTTTGCCACTTCCATTAGTGTTTAATTAAAGTTAAATAGTATTTTTTAAGTACAAATCTTCAATTACTACTAGATGGTGGGGGTGACACCATGGCGTAAACGTGTTAATTATAGACCACAGCTTATGCACATCTAAACTCATACTCATACACCCACCCACACCCACACATATATATATACTTTGTTTCTTGGGGTGACACCACGAAGTACCGCATCGGGTGACACCCCAACCTAGCGACGCCACTGCCCAGACCTTCTAAATTAGGGATGTGGTGGGGTTGCATTTTCACCATCGCGAATAAATATAGGCCTATATAGAACTAATTGTGGGGTAGTGGTGCAAAATTAATAGTTCGACCTGGATGCTGAAAACGATCGCTACTCTTTTATAGTTATTAATTATTAGGTTCTTTTTGATAATAGCGATTAAACATTTTGCGCCCCCCCCCCCACCCTAGGGATGGCGCCCTAGGCGACCGCCTAGTTAGACTTATAGGTGGCGCCGGCCCTGGGTCTAAGTGACGTCAATGTCTTGTCTTAATGACATTAAAATGTTGCTTAAATTATACTTCGAGCTGGAGTCCATCCAACTCTGATGGGTACCTAACTCACGTTAGGGAAAGTAAAGGCGGCTCGGCATACTGCTGACCACACTATCTCTTCATATGCCGAGCAGTGTTTCTTCCAGACTTTTTTCTCAGGGGGGGGGGGGGCACTTGAAATTTTCGGGGGGGAGGAGCGGTAGACTTTCTTCGGGAGGGGGGGGGGGCGGACACTGTTAAAAGTGTATATTTTCTATATAAATTGTATAAATTTCATTCGTTCGGGGGGGGGGGGGGGCGCTAAAAATTTCGGGGGGGGGGGGGGGATGGCTCAGCCCCCTTCCCCCCCCCCCCCCCCCCTAAGAGATGCCTGGAAGAAACTCTGATGCCGAGGTCACAGAAACAAGTGAACTCTACTTCACTTGCCCTATAGACCGTCAGGTTTGAAAGGGAACTTTACTTATAAAAGTATATTTCAGTATTATCTAAATGACCTGTTATTAATGTCGAAGTGTTTCCTAAACGCAATGACAGTGTTGTTTAAATGACATGTTATTATTGTCTAAATGTGATTTTATTGTTTTCTAAATGGCTGTCTAAATTAGAAGTCTTCGCCAGCAGCCAATACTGTGGTCTAGCTACTAACATGAATACTTTTCCCCATTAAAATGACTATTAAAAAGTGATAATATTAAAAAAAACCAAACATCTAAATCTAGCCAAACTCAAATGTGAGTTAGTTTTTCATCACATTCATCGACAGCCCACAATACCCAAATGTTTATATAAATGTAAGCAAAGTTATTTTTTTTCAAACGTGGCGACCTACGAGGCAGATGAAGTAGAGTTCATATGTTTCTGTGACCTCGGCATACGAAGTTATAATATGGTCAACATTATGCCCAGTTGCCTTCATTCAACCCTGATATGATGACGATATAAGTGAAAAGACCGAACACTGTTGTTTGTTTTTACCTTCCACCAGGGCTGTGGCTGATGATCCTAGTGTTTATAATGGTGGCTGGTGTCTCGCTATACGTCATGAGCAGGTTCGATCCCACCCAGGAAGGAAACATCCAGCGGTTTGATCTGAAGGAGAGTCTGTGGTACAGCATCAACATCGTCTTACAGGTGAGTGGTACAACAGCTTCATTTTACATGTAGGTGGTACAGCAACATCGTCTTGCATGTAGGTGGTACATCATCAATATCGTTCTACAGGTAGGTGGTACAGCATTAATGAGGTCCTACAGGTAGGTGGTACAGCAACATCGTCTTACATGTAGGTGGTACAACAGCATCGTCTTACATGTATGTGGTACAGCAACAGGCGAGTTAGTGGTATAGCATCAACATCGTTGTACAGGTAGGTGGTACAACAACATCGTCTTACATGTAGGTGGTACAGCAACATCGTCTTACATGTATGTGGTACAACAACATGTGAGTTAGTGGTATAGCATCAACATCGTTCTACAGGTAGGTGGTACAACAACATCGTCTTACATGTAGGTGGTACAGCAACATCGTCCTAAAGGTAGGTGGAACAGCAACATCGTCTTACATGTAGGTGGTACAGCAACAGGTGAGTTTGTGGTACAACAATAACATCGTCCTACAGGTGAGTGGTACAGCAACATCGTCTTACATGTAGGTGGTACATCAACATCGTCTTACATGTAGGTGGTACAGAAACAGGTGAGTTTGTGGTACAGCTTCAACATTGTTCTATAGGTGAGTGGTACAACAACAATATCGTTCTACAGGTGAGTGGTACAACAGCTTCATCTTACATGTAGGTGGTACAGCAACATCGTCTTACATGTAGGTGGTACAGCAACAGGTGAGTTTGTGGTGCAACAACAACATCGTCCTACAGGTGAGTGGTACAGCAACATCGTCTTACATGTAGGTGGTACAGCAACATCGTCTTACATGTAGGTGGTACAGCAACAGGTGAGTTAGTGGTACAGCTTCAACATTGTTATACAGGTGACTGGTACAGCAACAATATCGTCCTACAGGTGAGTGGTACAACAGCTTCATCTTACATGTAGGTGGTACAGCAGCATCATCTTACATGTATGTGGTACAGCATCATCGTCTTACATGTAGGTGGTACAGCAACAGGTGAGTTTGTGGTACAAAAACAACATCGTCCTACAGGTGAGTGGTACAGCATTAATGTCGTTATACAGGTATGTGGTACAACAGCTTCATCTTACATGTAGGTGGTACATCAACAGGTGAGTTTGTGGTACAACAACAACATCGTTCTACAGGTAGGTGGTACAACATTATCGTCTTACATGTAGGTGGTTCAACAGTAACTTCGCACTACAAGTAGGTGGTACAACATCAATATCGTCATACAGGTGAGTTTGTGGTAAGCATCAATACAGTTAGGTGGTATAGAACCACAGCGTCTTGCATCGCAGTTACATATTCATTATTTGTCGAATTCCATCAGGCACCTTACTAGACCATGAGAAAAGTATGCGGCTCAGCCTTTCAAATATTTGAGCTTTGTATGCTAATTTCTGTTCTGCAATGAAAAAAAATATATTTGTATACTGAAAAACAAAACGGAAACCGACATTGTATTTACTTATTTAATCATTGTTAAGAGCATCATTATACTTCTTTATTTCTTTTATTCAATGTCGATACACCAACTTGCTAATTACCATAGAAACTACCGTTCTAGAAACATCTAAATAATTACGTCGTCCACATCCAGGGATCCACAGACTATTCCCCGCAGACGACCTCCATGCGAGCCATCATCGCCTTCTTCTGGTTCTGTGTTCTGATCATTGAGGCGGCCTACACGGCCAATCTGGCAGCTCATCTCACACTCCAGCAGATAGACAACCGCATCAAAACCGTGCATGATCTGGCCAGTCAGACGCTGCTTAGGTACGGCGTGGAGAAGGGGACAGAACTGCATAAATTCTTTCAAGTGAGTTATCTCAAGGGGGATAAGCAGGGACAAAAATGAACGCGCGTAAAAGTAATTACTTGTGACTGATATATTAATTATTTGGGCTTCTAGCTAAGAAAAAAAGTAATCTTTTTCTGAAAGAAATGTACACGACACTGAAGGAACAATATTAATTTCTCAAGAAAAGACAGGTTATTCTTATACCCAGTATTTCTTTCAGACACCTTTTCGCCCACTCTCCCTTATAGAAGTACTCCCCCCACGGGCCAAGTAGATTTTATTAAAAATATATAGACTTCAACTAGTCCACCCCCCCTACACCCCCTGGAAATTTAAAGTGCCCCTCGCCTCGGAAAAAAAGTCTGAAATAAACACTGCTTAACCGCCTTTTCTTCACATGGCTTGTTTAAACTTGTAAGGCGATGCTAGATAGTGATTTTCAGATTGTGATTACCAGAATATGTCGATAAAATTGTATTTTATCTCCTTCATGAAATATTGTAATCATAAAATACATTGACGGCTTACGAACGGAGACCCCTACTGTAGGATATTGTTACCGCTTTATCTGTAGCATAACATATTGTAAACACAGCATTGTCCTACATCCACATGTCCAGAAGGAAAACCCCTATTGAAAGAAGTAAATAAAACTGTATAAGTCCTATAAAATATTGTATCCAGAAGGAAGACCCCTATTCAAGGAAGAAAATAAAACTGTATCAGTCCCATAAAATATTGTGAACTGCACCCTCAGCTCCAGAAGGAAGGCCATTGTCAAAGGATGTAGATCAAAATTTATCTGTTCCATAAAATATTGTAAACTCAGCATTGTCCTACATCTGCAGCTCCAGAAGGAAGGAATATAAATAAAACTGTATTCGTCCCATAAAATATTGTAAACTACATCTACAGTCCCAGAAGGAAGATCCCTACCAAAGAACTAAATAAAACTGTATCTGCCCCGTAAAATATTGTAAACTCCATTCCCAGATCCAGATGGAAGACCCCTATTCAAGAAAGGAAATAAAACTTTACCTGCCCCGTAAAATATTGTAAACTACATCCACAGCTCAAGAGGGAAGACACCTACCAAAGAACTTAATAAAACTGTATCTGTCCCGTAAAATAGTGTAAACACAGCATTGTCCTACACCTACAGCTGCACAAGGAAGACTCCTATTGTAGGATATTTCTAGCATAACATACTGTAAACACAGCATTATCCTACACCCACAGCTCCAGAAAGAGGACCCCTACCAGAGGATGTGGACCTTCATGAAGCTCCACGAGGCCGACGTCGTCTTGGAAAACACAACGGAAATCATAGACCAGGTCAAGGCCGGAAAACTTGCCTTCATCGCAGACGGCGTCACCAACGGTTACTATGCCAACCAACACTGTGGGATCGAGAGTATAGAGCAGAATTTTGGGAGCAAGGATTTTAGCTTGGGCTTTCCAAAAGGTGGGTTTGGCTGTTACCTAGACGATCCGAGGTGAAGAGGAAGTAGAGCTAAGCAATTTCTCTGGTTTTGTTATAGTATGGTCATCACTAGCTGTATTGACTTTCCGTAATTTCTCCTTGAGTAGATAGAAGAGCAGTTTGGACTCATGGGCGCAGATGAAGTAGAGCTAATCTGTTGTTCCGATTTTGCTAAAGTGTGGTCTTCACTGGCCGCATTTGTTTTTCTCCAATTCGGCCATAGTCCACTACATACTAGAACTATTCTCTACCCAAGGACCCCCAACATTTTTGATCTAGTAAACCAAAAAGAAGACTTTCCAGTAATCCTTGCGTTCTATAGTTCGACTATGTCATCTCACTTTTCCAAAGTTACATCTGTGATAAGATAATATTTGAGCTGTTGGCTAATAAGTTGGTTGTTAAAGGAGAGTAACAAGATGGCTTTAACAAATATTATTCCATTGTCGGACATAGATCTAGGTAGGAGGAATACTCTATATATTTTTCAGCACATTTTTTCCCCCACTGATTGCTAATTATGAGGTGATTGTTTGTGCAGGGGCTCCGTATTTAGACGACATAAACAGGGCTCTGCTCCAGCTCAAGGAAGAGGGGGCTCTGGACACATTGAAAGAAAAGTATTTTTTTTTTACTTAATATCGCTGACATTTTAGTTGTTAAAGTCATATTTGAGTAATATTTATGGTTAACAATTTAGTTAAAATGATTCTTAAGGATACTATCGGTTCAATTTTAGTTTAAAGTAATGTTTACGATCCTTAATATTTTAGTTTATATAAACAGTAGCTATCGACATCTTTACGTTGAAATTTTATAAAAATTAACTTTAACTTTATGATCTAAAGTGAGATATTTTGTCTGAGATATTTTGTCTGAGATCATTCCTCCATGATATCATTTGTCCTGATATATTTTGTCCTGGTATCTTTTGTCCTTGAGATCATTTACCCTTGAGATAATTTGTCCTGAGATCATTTATCCGTGAGATATTTTGTCCTGAAAGCATTTGTCATATAACCATTTATATATATATATATATATATATATATATATATATATATATATATATATATATATATATATTTAAGAAATTAACATATTAAATAAAAAGTTTCTGAAAATTGCTCCGAGATAAAAATCATATAGACAATTTATACTAAAAAAACATTAAGATTAAAATTCAGTTATAGCTACACACTGTATACATTATTCACAGTGAAATCTCAATGAAATACAATTCAATTTAAACAAAATAAATATAAAATACCTTGTAGGTGGTGGTCTACTGGACGAAACTGCACGGAAAAAGACAAGTCCAGATCCATCAGTCAAAAGACCACGCCCGAACTAGAACTGACCAATATGATTGGTGTCTTCATCGTTCTCGCTGTTTTCATCATACTAGCTGTCGTTGTGGACGTGGGGAGCCGGTTCTACAAGTTTGAGAAGAGCAAGAGAGAGGAGAAGACGATGGGAGGGAGTACAAAAGTGAGGGAGGAGGATGGGAGGGGTGATAAGATTGAGATGAGGAATGGGAAATGATATATGTTTGGGAGTAGGTGTGGATCGGAGAAAGAGTTTGGTTAGTGTATGTGTAAAATTTAGTTCAAAGAAATAATAAGACATTAAGAATGGTTTGGTTAGGGTATGGTACCGTGTAATTACAGTTAGAGTAATGATAGGGTTTCGACAAAGATTTAATTAGGGTATGTTGCCATCAGAGGCGTAGCGACCCCTCCCGGCGCCCGGGGACAAACTTTCGATTTGCACCCCCCCTCGAACTTTTCATTTGCACCCCCCCTCAAACTTTCGATCTGCACCCCCCCCCCCCCTCGAACTTTTCATTTGCACCCCCCCCCTCCAACTTTCAATTTGGCGCCCCCCTAAGGTCTGCGCCCGGGGACATATGTCCCCCCGCCCCCCCCCCCCCCCCCCCCCTCGCTAAGCCTCTGGTTGCCATACAGTTTAGGTATGAGAAATGATAAGGCACTAAGAAACGTTATGGTAAGTGTACCATGTAGTTAAGGTAAGAGTAATGATTAGGTACCACGAAGAGATGAACTGACACTCTTAAACTATTACATAATGCAGTGTAAAATGATCGTTTGAAGGCATGTCGCAAGATCAGTGACATTCCACAGCACGAAGGAGCAAATACAATTTATCTGTACCTGTTAATCCCGTTTTGTTGTCAGTTGTTTTTGTTGCGGAGTCGCACACACAGTTGTCATGTGTGGATCCTTAAAACACAAGCATTGCTGCAACATTATTAATTTAAAGATCCTGCGCAGAAAACTTATTAAATTTAATATTTGTTTACTAAAAGGAAATTGAAAATAAAAAAGTAATTTTAAATTTATAGTTTTTATTTGTTTACTAAAAGGAAATTAAAAATAAAAAACGTAATTTTGAATTTAATTTTTTTATTTGTTTTACTTCTAGGTCATTGAAAATTTAAAAAAAAGTAATTTCGAATTTAATTTTTTTATTTGTTTACTAATAGGACATGGAAAATAAAAAAAAAAGTTTCTACTAACTACATGAAGTTAACGAAAAAATATATATTAATTTTATTTTTCCTATTAACTACATAATGTAATAAACATGCTTTATGAATGTGCATGTACATATATGTAATATATATTATATGCAGGCCTACATGTCGTGTATGTAGTCGATTGATAGATAAATGAAACACCTTTTTCTTCTAACAATTACTAACACATTATTTCCTCACTCACCCCTCCCCCGCCCACCCCCACAACCAACCCCCACCCCTGCTACCTACAGAGCGTGGAACTGTACGACTCCACGGAGACGAATGTTCTAGACAACAACTTCATCAACTAACTCGGGGTGGACGTCCGCGGGTTCTTGCATGCCAGGAGCTAACAGCATGCTGATGTTTGCTTTAGGATGGTGTAACGACAACACGCATGAGACAGGCAAAAACTTAGTCTTTGTGAAAATGATTTAATATAATTAACACATGCATATATATATATATATATATATATATATATATATATATATATATATATATATATATATATATATATATATATATATATATATATATATATATATATACGCTAAAACAGTGTAACCTAATAGACATCCAATGATCATGTATAAAATCAACTACGTTTTTATATGGCTCGAACTCGTAGTTAATTTCTAAGAAAGCTACGTGTCGGGTGGTGTTGGTTCGGGTTGATAGTGTTGGTGATGTTGGAGGTGTTGGTGATGTTGGAGGTGGTGGTAACGGTGGTATTGGAGGTGGTGGTAGTTTTGTTGTTGTTTGAGGTGTTGGTAATGGTGGTGTTGGAGGTGGTGGTAAAGTTGGTGATTTTGCAGGTGGTAGTGTTGGTGGTATTGGAGGTGGTAGTGTTGTAGGTGGTGGTGTTGGTGAAGTTGGTGATCATGGAGATATTGTGAGGTTGGTTATCTAAGAGTTATCTTGGTGGTGTTAGTATATATTTTTTATTTAAAAATAATACACATGATACAAAAAAAACGTTGGTTTGATTAATAATATTTTGTGTTCGTATGTGTGTGTGTCTGTGTCTGTGTGACCCGTAAATGATAGAATGTGGTTTGGAGGTTACTTATGGAAATGGGTGTAAATGAAGAATCGGCTTTAAATCTATAAAGCAATTTACATTTTTTGTATATTAACAAAATATTTTCACTGTAACTGTATTTGAGAAAAAGTTAAAATGTGTTGTTTTTTTACTTTATTACTTGAAGTATTGTGTCTATATTCAATGTATTTGTACACACATGCTTTGTTGCAGGCTGTTACATGTGTACATGTGATAAAAGGCTGTACTAATCATGTTTTTTATGTTTATTTAGTTGTACAATGTGTTTAAGATGCGTGTACACACATGCTAACATGATAAACATTTCACACTAACACAAAAATGTGATACATAATCTATTAACTTAACTTAAACTTTGTCTTTCATTTACTTTAGTTTGGTCTCAATTTTTTTTAAAATCATGAAATTCGTTTTAATGACAAGCTTGTATGTAATAATGCTTTAAAAAGTAGAAAATAATGATTTAAAAAAAAGTTCAATAAGACGCTTCTATTAAGATGTCTTGACCCACGCGCCATTTTTGAAACGAATCTGTCAGTTAGAAGTGTTTGAAATTTCTCTCGTGCGTTTCGATCTCTGGCAGAGGAGTCAAGTTAAATAAAAGCTTGTAAAAAACAATTTTAGAATTAAAAATGTAATATAGAATTTAAATGTTAAATTTTGTAATCACAGTTGTCTGATTTGTAGTCTTAAGAGTGCGTGTTGCATTGTGATATTTGTGCTTTTCAACATACTTTCATGAATTTAGATGCATTATACATTTCTTTTTAGTGCATATTGTAGTCACCTCGTTTATTATCGCGGTTTAATTAAATACATTCATTCATTTTTATTAAGTAAAAATGTTTGTCAAAAAAAAATTATTACTTTAAAATGTTTTTGCTGTTATTACAATAATTGCTAAAACAAAAAATAAAAAATAATGTACTGAACTTTAGTCCCCTTAAATTATATAAATACTTTGCTGTTTAATTAGAAACAAATTGTCAACTCATTCCGGAATGCATGTAACTGTTTGTATATTCGTCTCCGATTATTTTCTGTTTTGCGTAATCATGCATTCAGTTTTGTAATTGTATAAATTAATTGTAAAAAAATGCATTTCGGTTATGTCGTAGAAACCACAGTGTTATATGAAATATAATATACTTCAAACAATAAAATGGGTTTATTTTATTTTTTAAGATGTTTATATATTTGATTTTGATTTATTCTCCTCATAAAAGTTTGTTACATTGTGTATCTCCTGTTTTAAAAATAAATGTGTATCAGCTTGTAGATTTTTTTTTCCTTTTTACTTTCTCGTATATACGAAGTATAGAGAAAGTCTTGTAATCGTGCAAAAAAAAAAATCGAGATTTTTGCAAATCTCGACGTTTTGCATCTCACTGATACGGAAAAACATAATTTTGCAATCTTGACCGTATGTCTGTGTGTCTGTGTGTGTGTGTGTGTGTGTGTGTCCGTGTGTAAACACGATAACTTGAGTACCGTTACAGCTAGGTTGATGAAATTTCATATATAAGTATTTAATCAAAATCGTAGATCCGTATCAACTTTTGAGCGATTTCCGATAACCAAAAGTGGTACTTTTCCTACTTTGAATTTTTCAAAAGCCTATAACTTGAGTACTATTTCAGATAGATAAATGAAATTTCATACGTAAGTAAAAGATCTAATTCTCTACCTTCTATTAAATTTTGAGTCATTTCCGTGGACTGGAAGTAGTACTTTACGCTACTTCCGATTTCTCAAAAAACTAATGTAAATTTTAAAGTAATAATAATATTGCGCACTATTATGCGCTTTTTTATTTCGCGTTCACTTGGTGTGCAATTAATTTGTCTACGAGATTTTATTCTATTTTTAAAACTTTAAGTATTTAAAATGGATTAAAAATCATGTCTATAGCCCGAGTTCCCATCCCCTGTTATTTTATATAAGAATATTCGAGAAAGTTTAGGGGAGATCACTCCCGGTTTATTCAATGTTTGTAATACAAAAAAAGTATACAATCTTTTATCGTTTCATGAAGCTGATCTGTAAATGAGAATGCATTCAACTTAATCATACATGTCAGCATTTTTTTTTTAAAACTCTTCTAGGAGATCACACTGTTAATTATTTTCGGAAATTTTGAGTTTGAACCACTGGTTTGAATCTGTAGGACATCCCTGAGTCCACCCAGCTCTGATGGGTGCCTTACCAAATTTTGGAAAAGTAAAGGGGGCTGCACATATTTTTGAACACACTGTCTCTTCATACGTCGAGGTCATTGTAACAGATACACTCTACTTCATCTGTTATTGTGTCTTCTGAACGAACCTGGAAAAGGTGGTGATAATGTTCAGAGCAACTATTATAGTCTTATTTGACTTCCTGCGGCATTTAGTCAACAAGTAAAGAAATCAATAAGCCTTGAAACATTACTACATTTATTAAATAGATTATATGTATTTTGATAGTTTGAACAAAATAGATTATTTAGAAGTTATTGAAAATGAAGTTACGAGATTTAATATCAAACATACTTGTATAATGAACTAGATTCAAACCTTGTAATCAAGTTTAATCTATGAAAGGTGTATAACAAAGTACACACTTCAACTGAAAGGCCGTGTTAACATTAGCAGAGTTGGGAAGCGATCAATAACAGGTATTTGATCGATTGTTTTTGCTGTTAGAGTCAAGTAGTATTGAAACTAACTAACGCGCAGAGGGCACAAAAACAAAGACAGATCTCCGTTACATTTACCCGTTACAACTTCGACTGTATGTTTTGATAAAAATAATTGATGTTGTGATGTTTCAGTGAAATGGAGTTCACCCATCGTTTTCTTCAAGACAAGTGATAATCAGAGGCGTAGCGACCCTTCCCGGCGCCCGGGGACATACTTTCAATTTGGCGCCCCCTTGGGAGCAAATTTTCGATTTGCACCCCCCCCCTCGAGCTTTTCATTTGCACCGCCCCCCCTCAAACTTTCGATTTGCACCCCCCCCCCTCGAACTTTTCATTTGCACCCCCCCCCCCCTCAAACTTTCAATTTGGCGCCCCC